TTTGTACGGAAGATGCCAACGTATCTGCAAACACAAACTACTCACTAAGTAGTTGAAAAGTCTGAATCAAGTACAAGTTTGCAAGTTGTTGTTTAATTAAGGCAGAATTTTTATTTGGAAGGCAACGTCCTACATTTTCAGGTTTCACTACCTCTCAGTAGTTTGTGTTTGCAGACGAGTTGGCGGCTTCCATGCAAACTACAGGCGACCACAGCAACCTGCTAGTGACCAAGGCAGTTGTAAGGAGGGTTTTGGTTGCAGCACCATGTACCTCTTCTTTCTAATGTGACTTATTTCCCTCTCATTTAAACGACTTTTAAAATATTTGCCATGAACATCCCTACGGGTTATGCGATTCATATAAAGTCTATTATTTTGGTGGTGTTGTTGCAGACTTCCTGTTTGATTTTGCTGGAAGAAGCTGCAGGCAGCTGGGAACTCTTTCTCATAGTTTTCCGAGTTTTCTGGTAGCTTTGAAGTCTCCCTGCATTTCTGTTGTTTTGATTGTCTTATAGCTTTACCTGATAGTTTTACCCGAGTACTTCAAGGCAGAATGAATTCTGTTGGTTAAGCTAGGCTATAACAAACTATGGCCTTTTGAAATTTGAGAGTTGTTCTATTAGCGATGGATAAAATGAAAATACTGTACAGCTAAGAAACACTGGATTTAAATTCATAGGTTATGGCTCATATTACTCTGTAGGTGAAACTGATCTGAACTTGAAGTCTCTGCGTCTGTTCACTGTACTTAAAGTTGCAGTACAACAAACTAACTCTGTATTTCTGACTGATGTTATTTAAACCTGCTGTTGGTGCCAAGCAGGCCCTGCGTGTCAGATTATTTCAGGATGTTAACAAGGTGTGGATTAATTTCTTGCGGATTAAAACTGCGGCTCCTGCTCGCTTGATTTGTTTCTTAATTGAAAACACCGGTGATTAGATGCATTAATTTGTCTGACACGGTTTCAATAACGAGGCTGATTTATGAAACGGTCACAGTCGTGCAGTCAGCAGTACTCAGCGAGCCCTGAACGCCATCAGTCCTGCATTTTACTACATCAGCAAGTCAATGTGAAGTAATGACCCACGTCTGCAGCCAGAGGAATAACGCTCAAGCTGGAAGATTTAAACAGCAGCAGTGACGGTCTTCAACTTAAACAAGTTTTTAAAAGTGAGCTGGAAAAACAAAGGAATGAAGAACAAGGTTTCAGTCAAATGAAGCAATAAGGACTAAACAGAAAGAGAAGTGGACTCATATAGGAACGTACAAGTCAAGTCAAATACAAAGAAGTGAAATGAGTACTAAACTTCTTCGTTTCATCCATTTAGAGTGTTTTTCCTTTCAGGGCGGGTTATTGTTGAAGAACGAGCTTATTTCATAATCCACACAGCTGATGGCGACCGTTTTCTGAGATTCGGTGAGATTTTCCAATCTGGATCGGATCAAACAGCCGCGGAGGCGTCAGTGGGCGGATTTCTGTCTGAACACAGAGCGGCGAAGCCGAGAGCTGCTCTCGACTCGCTGCAGTCGAGGTCAAAGGTCGTCGGAGCGGCTCAGACTGTTTACAGATCATCATGGAAGCATCAGCAGAAGCTTCGCTGAGCCACGGGGGACGAGCAGCGAGGGTTTACTACAGGCTTCAGCTCCTCATCGAGACTTCATCTCACAACGTCTTTTGTACCAAAGCCACAAATGTTTGGTCCACGGAGTCACGAGGACGAGAGGCCAGCTGTTGACTAGAAGTTATTTAAAAATGCTTTAAATGATGTGATTGTCTCATGTGTGCACCATGAATAAGATCACTTTATCAGGTTTTAGCTTTTCTTCACAGTAACCTGTGATAGTTATCCTTCTGACAGCTGCATTTAATGCGCATTTATACTGTCAGACTTAATTATTGTAAGCAGATCAGCTGATCTCAGAACTCAGCTGAGAGAATTCAGACTCAGAAATGAAAATTAGCATCAACAAGCTAACTTTAGGTTCATCAAATGGTTCTGAGTAACAGGAAAAACCAACACAGCATTAAAATGTCTCTTCAAAGAAACCGAAACATGAGGAATCAATCAGTCTGTAAAGTCTGTGATGGTGCCTGATGAGGTTAGTCCAGCTTTGCAAAGTGAACGATTCGTTTCCTGTGAATTTGTGACTTCAGACTCGGTAAACTGCAAATCTGTTTCTCTGACTATTTAAGCCTCCTCAGGTTTATTATGAAAAATGGATTCAACTTCCTCCTGTTTCTTATTCGATGCTTAAACAAGCCTCTGGGTATCGTCGAAACGGCTTCACATTCAACTTGAGTGTCTTTAAAAGGTCAGTCGGTGTTTGTTTTCTGAACATTGATCAGCTCTGTGGACACGTGGAGCACAAACCAGCGCTGTGTTTGCTGCAGGTCAGGTTATTAGGAAAAAAAAGGAAACTGAACCATAATTACTGCTTTGTGTGACACTGAATGCCTCATTTCTGTCACACAGGAGGGACGTCTGTTTATCCATTTTCTGTCACGATCGTCTCCAGAGATCCGCTCTCCTCACTGGCTGAAAAAGGTGTTGGCGTCACTTATTCACACAGCGCTTCCTGCCGGCCGCCACAAAGCTGCACGTGGAGCTTTGAATCCAGTCGCTCATGCACGTCAGGAAACAGCGTGATGACAGAGAGCTCAGAGAGCTGAACAGACTGTGGGTGGAGGCGTACGCCACCATGATGGAGGTAAATCAAAAGCTTAAAAAACAGACGCTCGGAGATGTTTTACATTTTCACGTGCAAACAAAACCAAAATCACAGCTTGGTATCTCATCGCTCGGTGTCACAGGGCACCATCACTGTCAGAAACAGCTGAAAACACGAGGCAATGACGCATTCTTATCATGGAAACACACACACACTTAAATAACTCTCTCCTCATGCAGATAACCACATCAATTATTCAGGATTGTTTGTGCAACTGAAAAAAAACCAAGAAACTCAATATTTCTTCCTCATCTTAGGAGTCAGCAACCATGTTGCTTTTAGTCAGAACAAAACAGCTCTGCTGCAGCTTCTAACTCACCGTGCACCTGCACCAGTGGAATGACCAAAGTATGATGGGCCATTTAAAAGTTCAAACACCTCACTGGATTCAAATTTGCATGCAAAACAGGAACACAGCCAAAGTGACGCCACCCACCCACATTTTTTAAACAAAATCTTCAGCTAGCACACTGAGAATATCGCTCTAATACCAGAATCTTTATTGTCAGTGTAGCAACGCAACACTGAACAATAAACTGAGGCCCAATTCTCAGTATGGACACTGGTGTAATCACGGCTCAAATAAGTGGATCGTATATCAGTAACAAGCCGCTCGGTTCAGTTCAGTGCTCTGTTTGCTGGTGGGAGAGCTAACGTAGCGTGACAGAAACTGAGAGCAGCTTTTATTTCGTCTTTCTCTGTCAGCTCCACATGTGCCAGAAGGTAAGTAGCAGCCAGGTGCTCCTAATCAATGCACCTGATTAACTGATCACGAGCAGGTTTGAGCGCCTCTATAAAAGTGACAGATTTGCTGGTCTGGAGATTCAGGTGTGTGTTAACAAAACACAATCTTCTCAGGAGTTCAAGATCACGCCATGCTGTTCTCAAAGAACGCGCACAAAATCCAAAGAGCTTCATTTTACCCTCTACAGGTCTCAGCATGTTAAAGGCGAAGTTCATGACAAGACAATTAGAAGATTGAACAAGAATCAGTTGTTTGGAAGCGTTTCCAGGAGGAAGGTGCGTCTAAAAAACATGGAACAAAAACATCTGGAGCGATGTTCTTTGGACGGAGGAAATAAAACACTAACACAGCCAAACAAGAACATTTTTAAGTTATCTAAGTGACTTATATATCATGCTTAACCTGAGTAGAGAAAGACTGCAGGGGTCTAAAAATGATGTGCCAGGAGTTCGCTGTTCTCGCCGGCTCTAGTGAGGCTTGAATCCCCGGCTAGCTCTCGAGCTGGTGGGTAACAGAAGAAAACGTCGGAGCACTTTTGCAAATACGTGATGTCCTGATAAACTGAGCAGATATTTGGAGTTTACACAGCTACATTCTAAAAGTTTATTTTGTGATCCAGAAAGATTAATAAGAGTAATATTTAAACTAATTAGCTGCCGCCATTGTTGGAAACTGGAACTGGCTGTCCTATGAATTCTGGGATAGGTTGGATCATGAAGGATACACCCGACCCATCCTTTAAATCTGGGGAAATGAAGGAGGCATTTGTCTGCCACGTTTGGAGCAGCCTTCGTCGACTGGCTGTGACGTAATTGGCTGACAAATGCGGTCTCCGAAGGATGCGGCCAAGGAATTGGGAAATACCTATTGAGACTGCCAGCATGGTTGGGGAGGGGTGATGATTTGAGCAGTGAACCCCTCTGTACACCAAAGTATTGTAGAGTCAGGAGGCCGTGTGGCTGACAGCTAAATGCTGGCTAAAAGTAAGTCATGCAACGGTCCAATGATCCCAAGCTGAGCTGCAAATCTCCAAGAAAATGGCTGAAAAAGAAAATGCACCAAAGTCCTGACCTCAGCCTGATTGTAATGTGACACCTCAGGAGAGCTGTGCATAAACAAATGCTGCAAAAACCAGTGAAGTGAAGTGACGCCGTAAAGAAGAGCGTGAAAGACTGATAACATCAGGCAGAAGTTACTGCTGCTGGAGGAGGATCTACAAAGCACTGCATCACGGGTGTAGTTCTTCACAGGACTGCAGACAGTCTGGGTTGGACGACGGGGTTCTCTGCAGTCTTAAACAGGCCTTAGAGGGACTGAACTCTAAGCTGCAACAAGCCTGATAAAACTGCATCGTGTTACTGTATCACCACCTCTGCTTCAGCATGCAGTCATTTATAAACGAGTTACAGTTACAGCCTCATTCTGTGATTTAAGATGAGATTAGCTTCAACGCGTCAACCTGAGCAGCTTTAAACTGCCCACAGAGCTTGTTTAATGCAATCGTGTAATCTCGTTAGGTCTTACCGGGGCACCTGCCCAGGTGTTTGACATCGATCTGCTCCTGCTTCATGCACGAGGCCTCTCTGACCAGGCAGGGGTTGTTGTAGGAGTTTCCGTCAGTGGCGCACACCGGGTTTTCATTGTGACCGCTGCAGTCGATGTTACATATGCACCTGAAGGGAGGAGAGGAGTCGAGTCAGGAGAATAAATGTTGTGTCTTCAGTCTGAACGCGTCTCTGCCACACAATCATTAACTGAAGTGCGTTTAGAGGAACGAAGACGCTGCTCATTAGTCCTCCACAGACCGGCTGCAGATACAAAGAACTAATTTCAATCCCTTTCAAGAACTCCTTCACTCGTGATTAATGGTTTCAAATTTACTCCCAGAGTTCAATGGTGGGACCTAAAAAAAGAACTTTTTGACTCTTATTTCAGTCGATTTATAGTCTTGTTTCGCTACGCTTAATAAGTCAAGTCGAGTTCATTTATGTAGCCCAATATGGGCTGGAAGGGGATTGCAATCGATACAGTATAAAAAGCCTGTTGTCCTTAATCAGATCAGAATATCTCCCTTAAAAAACAACTTATAGGTAAAAATATGGAGGAAAGCTCACAGAGAGAAGCAAATATATTGCTCACATAGAAATCAGGACCTTTATTTACCTCAACTACAAAAGTCAAACAGCCTTGGAGACGGATCTTATTTGTAAATCTCTCTCTGTGTAAGTGTGTAAAAGCCTCACTTCAGTTTATTTAAGTGGATTTTTCCAGTGTCATATATTTTATTCCTAGAGCAGCTTTGCATGATTGACAGCCCCAAATAATCCTTCTTTATCTCATACCGGGCCTCAGTTTATCCTGTCTGAAACAAGCTGTAAGCTAACTCTATATGATTGGCTGCCGCACACAAACAGAACAGGAGACAAAAAGTGAAGCTTTGGTGTTGTTGGTGTCAGTTTGTATTTACACAAACCTCGGGGGTGAGCTTCGTATGAATGTTACGAGTCGAACACTCACCAGACGTCCTCCGAGTCTTCGTCACACTCTGCTCCGTATTTGCATGTGCTGCACTTGGTGAACTTCTTCCCGACGTCTGAGCCCGAGCCCTCGTCGTCTGAAAGACACAAAGAAGAAAAACTTTAAGTATGAGTGTGCCTTTAAACAATAATGATTATTAATCTGTTTCTTTTCACTTTTTGTAAATCGCTTTGGACCAAAAGACGGTGCAGTGAGCAGTGAGATATACCAAAATGTACCAGTATTATTCACGGAGGCATTAGCTCAATTTTCTACAAAAATCACACACTGGTATCATGTAGCTATATGGAGCTTTTTTTTATAGGAACACACACATTAGATTCCTTAGGGGTCATTTTGAGACAGGACCCCCTTTCAATAAACAGTCGCTACGGGAAAATGTTGTTTCCCAACCAGTAGGTGACTATCTGGAAACCACTGGGTGGAACCTACGGGTTGCTGGCAGTCGCTAATGGGAAGCCAACTGTTGCACCAAAAACTTTGTTGTGATTGCAACTTCTACTTTGACGGGAGTGTGTGTTACCACTGAAAGCACATTTCAAGAAATGCGGCTTTTACTTTGAAGGTGAGCACTCCCCATTTCTGGTTTGTCACATTTCTCGAGTGTCGCTGCAGCTCAGAAAGGAAATGAGCAACTGCAGGAATCTGCCAGCAAAAAAGCAATCGCACTCTCAATAGAAACCAATCATCAACTAGTGGGGAAGACACAATTCTCCCTTGCAACTAGTGATTACCAGATGGTTGCTGACCAGTGTTTTTATGTGGGACCAAACCTTAGGCCAGCAGTGTCCAACTCCAGGCCTTGAGGGCCGGAGTCCTGCAGGCTTTAGGTGTGTCCTTGATCCAACACCTGGTGGTGAAAGTTTTCAGTAAAACAAAAGCTCAGGTCACAGTGATTCACTCTGATCCAAAAGTTCAAGGCCTGAACTACGATACATGCAGGGTTTGTTTCTACTCTTAACTCTGTATGAGATCAAAGACGGGAGATTTCCCGAATATGGTCATATCAGGCACAGGAAGTCCCACCCACCTTCTGTTTATCTGGTGCCTCAAAGAGAGCTAAAACAGCTTGTTTCATGCTGCAGGTGAAGCAGAATAGGCCCTCTGTGCCACACTGAGTACTGGTGAACCAGACCTTGACCTGTTTGCTCTTCCGACACATGAACCCAGAACCTGTGACTGTTTAAACACAGTTATAACGTCTGAATAAATTCAGCTTCACTTAAAAGTAAAGACGGGTTGTAAAGGAGGAGCCGTGGTGTTGTTGTTGTACACTGTTACTGAGGAGCAGAGATGAGAGCTTGTACTGTGAAAAGTGTGCCGTTATTCACCTGTGACACTCTGCTTGTTGTTTCTCCAAAAAACTCGTTTTAATTTCAGCGCGCCGTCTGTTTTGCTCTGCTGGCTGTGAAACTCTTTATTCATCACTTTCCCCTCATACTTAGCTTTTATTATTATTATTTGTGCACATCTTTCCAGAACAGAAACCTGATTTCATTTCAAAAACAACCTCCAGCTCACATCAGCTTCTGTTCCGGTGAGCGCCGCCGTGCCCTTAACGCCGCAGGCGCCGTTTTCCACCATCAACACGCGACACGGCTCACGCGCTTTTCTATCAGACACAGCTGAACGTGTGAAGAGGCTCCCGAAGCTTATTGGCCAAATGGAAACAGAGACAACGCGTTATCATCTTATGATATTATTATTATTACCATTACAGGGGGATGCGTTTAATACCATCTCGCATGACGGCGTCTATTTTCCAGCAGGGAGCGAGTTCAGAGCAGATGAGGCGGTAACAACCCACAGCATCAAATATCAAAGAGCCGCGGGGATTATCCCAACCCGCCTTTCATCAAGGGAGCAGTTTTCATGATTCATCAAGTGTAATTTTGTCATGTAATAGAGGAAAAGCTCAGAGCCATCAAGGGGACGGAGATTAATCCGCAGGAAATGTAATGAGCATCCTCAAAGCTGCGCCCGGAGCCATTAAAACATCTATTCAACCTTAAAATCCAAAGAAAGGTGAGATCAGAGCTGCAGCTCCACTGCAAACAAGCAGCACCCTCAAAAACACTGGAAATAAAACACGAGTACACGTATAAGCAAGAGAGCCTTTACTCCAAAATCACAGTGTTGGACAAAATCACCAACACTCGTCTTTAAACCTTCAGTCTACTCTGATTATTACACAAGCAGGAGATTCAAATTTACTATGATCCAAAATCAGGATTTAAAATAAAAAAAATCAGAAAAGGAAGAATCATGTAAAGATTTCAAGGAAGCTTTAAATTGTAAGTAAAAAAAGTCCTTCAGCACTAGAAGTTGCTTTTGAAACTGATCCCAGAGGATTTTATTTTGAAGGGTTTTCATGTAGGATGACATCAGATGATAATCCGTTTAATCTAATTCTGCACCTGCATCAGATTCATCCTCACTGATTACCTCGTATCCAAGTTTGAAAGATCATATGTTCCTTTCTCCTTCTAATTTTAAAATCTTATGAGAATTACTAGATTTTTCTATTGTTGTCAGTGTTTATTGTAATGACTTCATGCAGCCCATTTGCAGTACCTTCATGGCCCGCTGCGGGGCTGCGGGCCACACTTTGGAAATCACTGATTTTGTTAATTTGATTTGGTCCAAATGTAGCTCGACGTTTTATTACTTGTTTAAAAAGATGCTGATAAAGTAACTTCGACGTATCACAGACTTTTAGGTTTGGCTGAAAGGTGAATGATGAAGTCGCCTTTTTAGGATGCGGGAAGATCTCCGTATGCATACAAAGCCTCTGAGCAATTTTCTACTCGGATGGTTCCTGAATGATGTGAAAGGCCAAGCTGTGCTTTAGTGGTCGCGGCTGCTTAGAATGCTGCCCCGCAGAGCCACACCTGATGGATGGTGGGTGGAGGTCCAACCACATGCTAAATAACTGCATTCAGTTTGGTGCAAAACGCTTACTAGTCAGTCTCAATCAAACACAGCTTTGAACAAAAACACGACTGTAACAGGAGCATAAACACAGCAGTGTCTCGAGCACTCACCAACACTTCTATTGTCTCAACAGACTTTAAAACCACAGCAAACACTGCAGTGGAGACACATACGGTACAGCGCTCATATTGTCATACTGCTTTCCTTTAAATGACTGTTCGCTGATGATACAAGACTAAATTTATCCTTAACCCTTAAATCTAAGCAGATGAGAGGTTGTGAGTGAATCAGTCCAGCTCATCATCGTTCAGTTCAACGATGCAAAGACATCTGCTTTGTCTGTCTGTGAAACGTTACACAAAACAGCTCCGCTGTTCACTTTCAAGGAAGCGAGCATCTGTCCGCACATGTCACACATCTGCAACCGTTACTGTGAAATGTTGGTTTCACTTAACGGGAGCTGGTCAGCTGACACATCCACCATCTTGGCATTATTATGAAGGAGGACTGTGGCAATATCTGAGTTTTAGTAAGCAAGTCTAGTTTATTTATGAAGTGTTTTTCACAGACATGCATAACAAAGTACAAAAAAACTGTAAAAACTATAAAATCAAAACCGAAAGAATAGAAATATTCACAGACTGAAAGGTTTCGTCCTCCGTGTTCTTCAGTCTCTGAAGAGATGAACAAATTCTGAGCCTGCGATTGAAGACTGCGAGCTGCAGTGTGTTTAAGAGAAGCTGGGATTAAAAGATTGTGGCTCAGGAGGCAGCGCAGGAAAGGTTGGTGGTTCAATCCCAGGCTGCTCTAGTCTGCCAAAGTATCTTTAGGCAAGATACTGAACCATCTGAGAGTGATGTTAGATAGAAAGCATGCAGATGTAAGGTATGCTGTACAGAGCATGATATAAGAACCAGTCCGTCCTAAAATCTCTCTTGAACTCACTCAGTAGTCGGTAGTCTGGCTGCGACGCTGGAAACACGATTTCTCTAAACAGGGCGTTCCAGTGTTCGTATCGCTCGTTACAGACACATTTATAGAAGCTTTAAATAAAAAAGTATAATTAAAATTCCTGTTTGTTTAAAAAACAAACAATTACAGTGTTATTTAAAGTATTATCCTCTGTGGTTTATTAACACAGCCAGACGCTGCTGTTTTATTATTAATGTGTGGCAGCCAGATAACAGCTGGCCACTCATTAAAAAAAGGTGATGCCTCTCTGACAGCCTGTAGCATGTTCACATTATTATGTCCACCTCGAGACACACAGAGCTGCATTATGAGTAAGGATGGAGAGGTCGCGCTCTTATTATTTCTCACTTATTGCAAGATTTCGACAGCAAAAGCATGATTAAAATGACTGGTGAAGACAGACGCTGCAGTGTGTGTGTGTGTGTGTGTGTGTGTGTGGGCCTGCTGGCTGACAGATTGGCTTGCTGTGTGTGGATGTATTGAACACGGAGAGCTCAGCTGGGGCTCGGAGGCTGCCGATCGATTGACGGGGATCTGCAGCAGAGAGGCTCCTTTGTTTCTGTTCAACTCTGCTGACAGCAGGACGCTGCTGCTCCAAGCCGTCTCCACCCACAGCCAGAAACACAGCGACTGCACCAACAGCTAAAGCCTCCTCATATCCACACAGTGTCACATCTGGACTTTCATGTTTCATCACTGAACGGGTGTAGAAGTGGTGCTCTCTCTGTGTATGAGACTTTGTGTCTGCATGCATGCACATAGTTTATGTAAAGACAAATTCATACATGGCGCAGGTACCAGGCTGTGTACAGAACCACTCTTAACAGTGAAGGAACTACACATCCCATAATGCACTGCAAATGCAAGATTCTAACGCAAATGACTTCCAGTATTCTTATGCAAAGTGATTCAGTATCATAGTGTTTAGTATAGTTGTAGTCTGGTGTGTGTCTGTACCTGTTTATATATCTTTGTGGGGACCAAAAGTTGGAATGTTACTATATTTGTGGGGACCAACAGTCACAGCCCAAAGTGTCTGTCCTCACGAGTTTGAAGGCATTCTTGAGACTCAAAATGTGGTTTTAGTGTCAAGGTTACAATTAGGTTATTGTTAGGGTTAGGCTGAGGGTTAGGCATTTACTTTTGATATTTAGGGTAAGCAGCTAGGGA